TTTCTCCTAGTGAGTCACTGCTGAGTTATGAACCTGCTTCATCTCAGGCGACAACCGTACAGAATACAGAAGTTGCTCAGCCATGCTGGGTGGAGGGGCCAACTCCTCTGTCCTGGGTGATTTCACCTAAACTGACTTGTGGTTTCGTTTGAGGCCCTCTGGCACCACCAAGTGGCTGGCCTAGCCTCTGGTCACTCTTGCATAATTTGCGGCTGAGTCCCAATGCTCCTGATTCTGGATTAAGATGGGAATTTTGTCATTGCTTGTCAATTAAATGTGCTTGCTGTCCACTGCAATCTGTCTTCAGATCTATGAAGTCCTGGGTGTTTTTAAAAGTATTTTGCATAAAGCACACAGTGCTCTGATGACTACAAATGCTCTTAGCATTTGGCTGAACCCTTGAGAAGGAATCGGTCCTGTCACTGTGTGAACATTTTCCAGATAACCACAGAAAGTGGGAAAATGTGTGTATCACCTGTGGGGTCCGGGTTCCTTCATGTGTGGTCATGCAGTAACGATCCACCATAATTCTGTGCAGATCCATCCTCCTGCTCCAGTGGACTGCATTGTACCTACAGAGCATCTCAGCTCCATTAAGTATCGTCAAGAAAATCTCCAGTCGGGAGTTCCCGTTCTGTATTCATTTCCCGACAGCACTGAGGGCTGGATGCAAGGGTCTCCAAGACGCTGGCCAAGGGCCCTGTTACTGAGCTTCAACCCCAGGCTCAGCTCTATTTTAATATCAGTTGTAACAGTGCTTGTAGAGAGAGAGGCAGAGAGGTTAAGGGTAGAATTCTTCGTAAATTACACCACTGGATGCAAGATTTACAGTTTATCCACGTCCAGTCCCTAACATCGTCTTCTCCCAGCTGTGTCTTCTTCAATGAAAAGCTTCCAGTTTTATTAAAGTTTATTATTTTCATCTTTCATGAATCATAATTTTGCTGCTGAGTCTGGGAATATATCTCATTCTGTCTGCACAGCAGTGATTCATGCTTTTGGTGGAAGGTTTAAAGTTTCTCACTTCACATGAAGGTCTACGCTCTGTGGATCAGTGGCTGCATATGGCGCAAGGTAATGGCCTATTTTTGATTTTTGGCATATGAAGATCCACGTGTTCCAGCCCTGTTGGCTGAAGACATTTGCTTCACTAGAGTGAGTGCACACCGCTAGTAAAAGTCACTCTTCTGTATCTAGACGTAAGTCTATTTTGGGGATTCTTCCATTTCCTGTGGTTTGCCTATTGCTGTAACACCACACTGTATCAATCACCAGGACAATGCTACTGTGTATCTGTCACCATGGCAACACCACACTGTATCTGCCACAATGTCACACCATACTATATTATTGATAATAGCTATTATTATACATATATTATATATTTATATTTTTATTTTATTTTCAAGACAGGGATTTCCTGACTATGAATTGCTTATCTTAAGACATTATTTTAGTTATAATACTTTTCCTCCCATAATTATCATGGATCAAATATGTCTTTTAACTTTATGCCTGAATTTCAGATTCAGTGTGTTGGTATCTGAAGAGAGCACCTGGGATCTGGCTGATGTCACCTTCATGTAGCTGGACCAATGGGAAGGCTGGCAACTCTAAAATGCTACGTCTTCAGATTCGGGCATTTTTTTCAGGTGTTTTTTTCTTTCTTCAGTAGATTTTAAATAATTTTTATCATAGAAATATTGCAAAGTTTGCATTATATTTGTGCCTAAGCTCTTCATTTCTTTCAGTGATAGTACAAATATTTTAAATGTTTAAATTTTCAATGTTCACTATCAGGTATAGGACCATTTCGATTTGTGTATAAATTTTGTAACGTATAGCCACAAAGCCTTGCAATTTTATTTTGTTAAAATATTTTTAATTTCTAAAAATATTTTTAAAGTACTTTTTATGCCCCCCCAGTCTATTTTAAACCTGTGTAATTTAGAGACCATATATTCATCTGTTCTGCAAACGCAAGTGTTTTTATTCCAACTAATGCTGTTATGCCGGAATCATGCTTCTTATGTTCCCAAGTCCTTCACCTCTTTTAATGACTGCTTAAAAACAGAATAAATAATACCTGTATTACTGACTATTTCAATTTGGAAAAAATCTATTCTGCAGCTGTTAGGTGGAGTCTCCTACAAATGCCAGTAATAACTGGCTAGCAGAGGTTATTGGGAAAATAAGCTAAGATCAGTGATCTTTAGTATGAAAATATTTTACTAGGGAATATACAAAAATAATACTCAAAATGTTAGCCATTGTTCTTCACGAGACATTATCAAAATTTATCTCAGGTTTGAGATGAAACATTTGCGCAGAAAATGTCTGACAAAGGGCTCCTGACCTCAACGAGTGAAGTAATAAAACCTCAAGACCAACACAGGCAAGAACTTTAACAGACATGTCAACACTGGCTGTAGATCTGTGCCACTGGCAGGGACTCAACTCCAGGCTTCGGGGAAAATCAGACTAAGACCACAGATGGTCATGTTGGGAAGCCCACCAGGGAAGGTGTGGCCAGACTGGGTGTTGATGAGAAAAGGTGGTGGGTTAGTTGCTTCTCTCATCACAAAGCCACATAAGAAGGAAGGAAGGGTTATTTGGAACAGTTTGAGTATGTGGCCGAGACTCCTTGAAGGTGGGGAGACCAGAGAAGAGCTAGGGTATAAGTGTGCTTTATTTTCTCTTATTGTTCAGCAGGTACCCCATCTCATGGAAGGGTACTGCCTACATCCAGGGCGGGCCTTCCTTCCTCAGTTAAATGTCTATGGGAAGACCTCACAAGTATGTCCTGAGGAGCCTCTCCGAGGCAATTCCAAACCCAGCCACATTGACATGAAGAGGACCAGAGAGAACGGGAACCTCACATCTCAGAAGTTCTGGAAAATACTCTGCAATTTTCCAAATTTTATAACACTAAACACAGACCTGCCATTTCACCCAGCTATTCCACTCCTAGAATTGATACATTTGAAGCAAAAGTTTGGGGACACAAATGCCAATATCATCATCTATTAATGATGACATCAAATTGTAACCATCTAAACTTTCATCAACAGGCGGACGAGTCTGTGCATTATTTTAGTCCATGCAGCAATGAAGTACTGCACAGCCATGCTGAAGCAAGCTACCCACACACTGCAATATAATCGTCATAGGAAATCATCAAAGCTAGAGAAAACTAAAGCAGAAACCAACTACAAGGCTCTATAAAATGCTGTCGCTATGACAGACATTAGATTAGCAGTTGCCTATGGAGGAATGGACTTCAAGGGAGTAAGGAAAGCTTTTTAGTGATAGAAATGAACTTCTTCTTTATGTGTAAAGGTGTTTATGTCACGATAACACTCTAAATATATGCCTATTTGTTTTCTTGTAATGCATCATTAAAGCTGTCAGAACATTTCCAGTTAGATAAAAATTAATGAAATTCTTTCTTCACAGATACCCAAGAAACAAACAGCAAATGAAATTCTTCTATATTAAAAAAAAAAAACAACAAGAAAAGCTAACCATAGAAGAAATGGAGATCTTCAAAAAGGAAAGAAAACTACCAGAAAAACACAATATAGAAAAATATGGAGATTGTTACTGTAATGTGACTTTTATACAGTGGATGAGAGTGCAAATTTATATTATAATATTAGATAAGGAACTAATAAAACCACTAATTTAAACATTATTTACGCAAAGATACATATCATATTTCATAGTTTAACTCCTAAAATAAAATATGGAATATTTCAAAAATATAATAGAAGAAAAAATTGATTGTTGAACATAATTAATTTATTGAAGTAAATCAAGAAAGATGAAAGAAGCAAAACCAGATGTGACAGATGCAACCAAACAGTAACTTCAGCATGTGAGTGATAACATGGGGTATAAAACCCTGGGTAGCTAAGCTAACAGACAAAAGCGTGCTTTAAAAAGACCCCACATCATTTAATTTTCAAAAACAATCACGTTTAAAATAAAAAGAGGCGAATGGACTTACAGCAGAAAAATGAAGACACTTTCCCCAAGGTGCTGGCGTGACTGACAGCGGCGTCTAGAAAAGCATTTTACACGTCGGTATATTTAGCTAATAATGGAAACATTTAAAATGAGAGTTCTAACCCAGAAGGTAACACACATCAAATCGAAGCCAAAGAAAGCAGAGAAATGATAAAGTAAGATGAGGGGCTGGGAGTTTCCCAAGAGAGGGTCCTGGTTGTTGCCATTATCCACATCTTTCTAATTCAAGAGCAAATGGCGGTTGTTTTTCAAATGTTTCTGCCGCCTTTTGACAGGCTGGGATCTTCAGATCCACCCAGACAAGGATGAGTGAAGGGTGGGTGAGAGGTTCCCCAGAGCTAGCAATCCCGAGACCCAGGTGCTGAACTTGCAAACCTGTCTTTATGGTTCAAGTCCTGTCACCCAGGAGTTCATCACTCCAGGCTTTGAAGGCAGGGACCAATGTCTCTGGATCCAAGAGGGAGCACCCCTGGCCCACAGCAGCGCTCTCAGTGACGATAGTACCTGCTGCTGTGAGATTGGTGTTCCCAGGACTTCAGGCCTGACTGAGAGATGGCACCACTTGCTTCTAGGCACAGGGCAAACCAGTCTTGTTTTCTGCACAGCCTCTGACTGTCACGGCCACCAGCAACTCCAGCTGGGTGGAGGTGATGGACCCACAGGTCAAGTTGTGCAGGCAATGCTGGAAAACACTGAGCTCAGCACAGTTCAAAGTCGTTCTTTGCGGAGGCTGAGCGCCAGCTAGAGCCTGCAGGTCCTCTCTCACGGGCCCCCAGGACAAGGCTCCTCTGTTCGGCTTCCCCATGGAGCACCCTAAGAGTTACAGACGAATTATTTCCGTTTTCTTTTTTAAATTATCAATTGCTGGGGATGTGGGATGGCTCAGAGCATAAAGGTCGCCTGAGTCCAATATCCAGGACACACAGGGTGGAAGGAGAGAACTGGATCCTGGGTCATCCTCTGCCATTCACTCGAGCCAGTTCCTGGAACACTCACTCCCCTCAGCACAAAGACACCGGCTTTTTCATTTGTTTTTTACTTTCAGTTGCTGATTGTGCAAAGTGTCAGGATGAATCACGACACATCGTCCACCACCAGCTTGACCATCACTTCCCCAGAGACCAGATGGACTGCTATCATTCCTTGACAAAAAAAAAAAAAAAAGTAAGTTTAACAATTGGGCTGTTAGGATACAGAGTTTCTCTCTGGAAGGGCCCGGGGCACTGGGCAGCTGCAGAGTCAGCAGCTGGAACCAGTGGCCTCAGAGCTGTGCCAGAGGGCGAACTGGAGATAACCTGTGTCCACAGAGGGCCATTGTTCTTACCTTAATGTGGAAGGAAGTCTTTTCTTATCCCTGTCGTGTGACTGGATGATTTGCTCATGATCTCAGACCTCTTACAAACAGTGATAAATAAAAATCCCGTGGCTTCTTGTGGAATGCAAGGCCGAAATTTAAAAATATGTTTCAACACAAAGTCATGGGAGTGGAGGGCCGGGCACCAAAGCAAAGTTACATAACGGGAATAATAAATTGAAGCCGTCACCTCGAGACGCAGAGATTGAGCACACTCACCCTTAGGTCTGTGGTCACATGACCTCGACTGGCCACACTTGGTTTAGAATCAGCAGCTCCAGGGTCTCGTAAATCACCCCTCAGGCATCTTGACAGATTAGAGAAACAGAAGGGACAACTGTGGCAGCTTGTTTTCCTCCACAATTGCTCAGCTGACAGAGAGAGAGAGGGAGAGAAGGGGGAGGGGAAGGGAGAGGGAGGGAAGGAGGGAGAGGAAAGGAGGAGAGAGAGGGAGAAAAAGAGGGGGAGAGAGAAGGCGGGGGGGGGGGAATCCCAGAGCCCCTGGAGAATTAGTGACTGGGCCCCAGGACAGGCCTATCCTCCCATCTCAGCAGGACACAGGGGTCAGGGACAGGAGACACACCTGCCATTCGATCCCCCACTCTGGTGTGTGGACTTGGCCTTTACAGAGAAGCAGCAGCAGACCCCAGTTTTAGACTGGCTGTGATTCATGCATTTGTATGATCCTGACTCTGTGTAGTTTGGGCTGTGGCCATTTGTGTTCCCTGTCAAAGACCATGCAGACCTGTTTCTTAGCTGAATGTCCACCTTCAGGATTGCCCCTGGCAAGAACAGAGTCAGCAGAAAGGGGAAGTGGGACCTCAGGAGTGGCCATAAGCCTTGCCGCTGTGTGGGAGATGCATCCTAGCAGAGTGTGGTGTGAGGACCAATCAGACAAGCCTGGAAGGAGATGGTAGTACTGACTTAGTGAGAGCCATGGTTCCTAGGCAGCACACAGGGGTGGGGCCAGTGCCCTTAGGGACCAGGGAAGTGAGAGAGAAATAATGCTAATTTCCCCCCAGACATTCCGATCCTACATTTGGGGACACCAGAGGGCTTAAATTCTGACAACCCCATAATGATGGACCGGCTCATTAGGAATGGGGGCAGCACCAGGTTTTCTCTTGGAAGAGGTGGTGGATGAGGTCACACAGGGAGACAGGAACCCTGGTCATGAGGAGCAGAGGGTACCAGCGATGAGCCAGGGGTCTTTGTCCTGAGAGGGTGGAGCGGAGGAAACATCTGGGAAGTCTTAGGAGCAGAGGGATATTGGGTTCTGCCATCAAAGAGTTTGTAGCAGAGGCAGAGTGGAGAGGGATCTCAATGCTTCTCCAGGAGACACCCACAGAACCTGCTGCTGGGTTGAGTCTGAGTGACAAGAGAGAGATCTGGAAGCTCAATCACCAAGTCAATATTAACAGACTGAGTCCGGGAAGTACATAGGTGACCAGCAGTGATACCTAAGTGAAACCTTAGCCTCTGTGCTTTTTACACAAGTATATCTATTCTATAATATTAGAAGGAAATTCTGAGTTTTAAAGTGTATTGTCATCCTATTTGTGAAGCAATAGAGCTTTAGCAATAACAGTGCTTTAACGACTACCATATGAATTTCAAAGTTCTCAGCAAGGAAACATCAAACTTGTGTGGGAAACCGGCATCAACTAAGCCAAGTCCTCAGCATTTAAAGTGTGCACTGTGTGTTCTCAAAAAATATTTGCATAATAATAAAGTGACCACAAGAGATATAGATTGAGGAGATGTGGGAACTCACCATTTCAGCGTAGCAGGGGAAAGGAAACTAAAGGGAAGTTGAGACATTGAAGAGATCTGGTCCTGGCCTGAAGGGAGCCTTGGCCAGGTTACTGGACCTGAGTTTATTTGGCATTTTCTTCTGGAAAGTAAAAGCTCTTGCCCTGCTTACTTCACAGACGGATGAGCTGTGTAGAGAGGCAGACATGAAACCATAAACAGGTGAAGGTTTTGAAAGCTGGTGGCCCTCTGCTAGTAAAGAACTTCGGCAAAATTTACAGGAGACAGCCATGATACTGTGGAACGCTGCTGGCTTCATCTCTGTATGTCAAGGGCTGGTGGTAGAGATGTGGTCCATACCCACCCTTCTCACCTTTCTTGCTTGGTCTCCGTGACAACAGAATGACAGACAGAAAGGCGTATAACTCAGAACATCCAGGAAAGAAGTCACCTAGCCCCGAGTCGGTGAAAGAAGTCTTTGGGGAAAATGAATTGAGAGAGGGGAAACCGTAAACTTCAATAAAGTCATGCTAATGCTTTTGTTTTGAGAGGTGGAGAGATTGAGATGGGGCTCTGCCCAGAGCAGGAGGGAGCCGCCATTGCTGTCTAGGGAGTGGGTTGGGACATCTGACTGGTGTCATTGGTAGGGATTAAGGTTGAAAGGCTAACTCTCCAGCTCAGATTTCAGCCAGGCCAATGATACAACCTGGAGTATAAGGAAGAGATGGAGGTCTGGATACGTGAATCTGGAGACAACTGTGTGGAGAAAATTACACCTGCAAGATCTGCAGGCCATGTGACTCTCGGGTGAGGACGATGGGACAGTGAGGGCCACAAGGGGCTGGGTCTGAACTTTCCCTGTGTGGTATCTTCGTGTAAACCAGCAAGTTTTAGATAGATGGCTGTCAGACAGCCAGAGCAGAGGTCACCTGCCAGCCGGTGCCAGGCTCCACCTCTTCAACATGACTGGTCAGTGACACAGGAACCATAGCGAAAGGGATCATTGAGAGGATGAGAAGTCCGTGTCAGCACACAGGCTTGGTCTTGAGTCCATCCCAAGCCATGAAGATGCCAGATTGCTTAAAATAGCAGTGAACTGGGTTTGGGAAGGAAGAATCTGCCCAGACCCGTGGTGATCATGCCATGTGGGTATTTAGTCAGGATAGAAGCAGTCCGTTCCTTACACAGCACGCAGCAGGGTAGATAGTGTGCCTCACACCTTAGGCTCTGTGACATCACTCATACATTAGTGACAACCTCTCCAAGCTGCCCATTGGCCCATCTTAGTGTACTCATTTATTTTGTCGTGTAGTCTGCATAGAAGGGCGAGGAAGGGTCCGACCAAGCGCTCCCGATGGCCCACTGTGACAGGTGTGGGTGCCCTCTGGAATTTCTCAACAGCAAAGCATTTAATTACAGGTTCTCTCTCTTCTGTAATAGACGAGCTGTTTTGAGTCATAAAATTACAAGTTAGAATTTGCATATAGTTGTTTGAGAGTTTCTAGTAGATAGATTCCAGAAGGATCATTGAACAATCTATTTTGAGCACCGCTGTTAAATCAGAAGTCTGAAGTTCCACTCTATTTAGTAGGCATGGAGGAAGTTAGCAGCTTTCTTATGGAAAAATTCGCTGTGCTTTAAAAAGAATTCAGAGCACAAATCATGAAAATCTGGCAATAAATCGTCCAACCGTGATTAACAGCCCAATGGACTCGGGCAGCTTAGATCGTATTCAGACTCAAGTTCTCTGTGTATGAGATGAATCAAAGCCCCTCCGGGTCTGAGAAGATGCTCTGTTTTAGTAGACAATCCTCACCCAGAGATCTTCAGCTTAGCATGAAAATGGACTAGTTCTTGTGAAAATTTACTCTCCGGAGACACTAAAAGGAAAAAGCAGAAAGCAAAACAAAACCAAAAACTCACTTAAGCATAAGTAAAATTGTAATAAAGTATCTAGACTCATTGTTAAATAGAAACACTAAAGTTTTGAAGTGTCATTTTATGTTAAATAGACTTCTCATCTCTACTGGTCAACATTGTTGAGACCTTGTGGACATCCACATACCCCTTCAAAGATAATAGAAAGCTGACCGGAGACCCGAGGATGTCAAGCGGACATTCCCTTGATTCCCCTTAGAGCTTAACTTCTGACACCTTTGGGTCCTAAGTCAGACCAGAACAAGCTACTGACTACCAGACACACTGATAGGAAGTAAGCATAGCATCCATCAAAATGGAGCTGGGCTTCTGGACAGAAGGGTTTTCCTGCACTGCCGGACACACCACCGTCACCTAGATTTAAGTCACAGACCTAAGGAGACCTTAGGGTGGAGTTGTAACATATGTTACCCAGAGCAATGAGCAACAAAACCTATTTCATGGGGTCAAGACCACTGACCTATTTAAATTAAAGAGAATGAGCCCAGGAAGGTCACTCAGCGGTAGCACTGTTTCTCTTCTTTGTTATTAATTGTGCATTTTTTTCTTGGCAGGGCCCACCCCTTGTCAGGAACTCGTGTTCTTGACATTATCAGGGTTGTTTAGGTTCAGTCCCTTCTCCCATCTATCAACTTTCACATTAACAGGTATTCACTAAGCACTGCTAGAGTCTTACTTTGAATATTTGGAAACAAGAATGAATTAGACATAATCCTTCCCCTCAGGAAATGTCCAGTCTTTTAAAGGATACAGACACTAGTATGCAATGCCCTGTGTAACTGAAGCAGAGACAAAGAAGGCCCTTCAAACCCAGCAACGCATTCCAAAGGCTCTGATTTCCGCTGTGAGGGAGGGAGAAAACTGAAAAGAAATAACTCAAATGTATATTTGACATTTCTTTTCTGTCTCCTTAATCGCCTGGCTTCCAGGTGTCAACTGTGGTGTCGGAATCAGTGGAAGAGAAGGAAATCCCCCACAGGCAGCCAGGACTTGTGGATTCTCACTGAAACCATCAAAAGGACAGGTGGGAGAGGCCAGACTGGGGCAAGTTGGTGTCTCAGAGGACAGACCCAGTATGCATGGAAATACAGCTTGTATCCCCTCTGGGCACCCCAGAATGTTCTTCCATGGCAGCTCAGATGGCCCAGACACAGCGTAGGAAGGCCTGTCTCTGCATCGCCCAGTTTAAGCTGTGCTGTGCCGGAGGCTGCCTCCTGAGCGGGTTCCAGAAGCTCACCCTATACTTTATGGAACTCAGCTTTGGTCCATTTTAACTCCAGTTTCTTGTTCCCGAAGTTATCATGCCTAACTATTGAGACATATGCATTCGTGGGTTCTTAACCATGTGGACAGGGGACTTGACCAAAGAGCCATGAAGGGTTAATACTGGTCAATCCTGGGAGCCTAGAGACCCTCTTCAGTTCCATGGTGACATCTGAGAAGGCACAGCCTCTGAACAACTGTAGTCACTCAGAGCTACAATAAGCAGACACCCAGGCTACCTGGAGATTG